TGTTTTTCTTTGTTGCTTCTTGCTCATGTTATTTGTCTTTTTTCTGACTTTTAAAGTTGATCTCTGCACTGTCCCAGGCTTCTTGCGCTGGGGGCTAGCGGCCTGGTTACTGATTTGCTCAGATGGGGCTTACCACTGGCTTGCTGGGATGCCTCCCTACCTGTATTGGTCTCCTTCAGCCATAGCAAGAGGGACCTTTCCAGTTAATGCCCCTAGCCTCACAAGCTAAAAGATTTCTATACCTCATCTTTCTGCTGCTCCACTATTTCAAGATTTTTCCTGGGGCGATATTCTCTGGGTTTTTCAAGGTCAGTAAAGGAGGGTGAGAGCAACTTAGTGTTTACTCTGCTATCTTGGCTTCCGGAAGTCTAAATTGAGCATAATATATGTATGAGGGAATAATATAAAATAAGTTGGGAAAGGTAGATGAGCTTGACTCGGAAAGGCTTCAGATTTAAGGTAAAAAAATTTATCTTTATCCTAAAGACAATAGGATCACTTAATTCTCGAACCCAGGCAATGACAGAACCATAGATAGTGTTAGAAGGAACTTCTAACCCTATTAAGGCCCTGGGAGGTTATAACTTATACAATCAGATTGGTACTGTAGTGTGATTTTGACGTATCTGTTTAAACACCCTGGTATTCAAGACCAGTTGGGCCCTGGCCTATCCAGTCTTTCCTTCTTGCCAAACCAGTTGCCTTACTGTCCCCTGAACACAAATCATACTATTACTCCTGACTAGAACGTGCTTCCCCACCCCCACCTATAAATCTTTCAAGGTCTAGTTCAAACTTCATCTCCTTTCGTGAGGTTATTTTATATTTTAGAAAGACTAGGCTTAAGTTCATATTTCAGCTCTGCCACTTAAATCTATATATCCCCAGCAGAATGCAGACTCCATTAAACCAGGGACCTTTTTTCATGTTTGTCTTGGTGTTCCAAAGTACCTAAACACTACACTTTAGCTAGCACATTGGTTCTTAACATTTGTTGAACTGTATTAAAGCTGGAAGGGATCTTAAAGATCTATCCATTTTACAGAATCACTGAAAAGTGATCTAGCTTTTCTGCTTGAACATCTTCACTAACAGACCTCTTTTCAGACAACTCAAATGATTAAGAAGTTTTATTAAACTGAAATCTGATTCCTAGTTTCTTTAATTCCTTTTTCTTTGATGGCAACAGAATAAGTCTGAGCCATTATCTGTGTGACCATCTTCAAATACCATCTATTTTGTCATTCCCTTTTGTCTTCCTTTCTCCAGGATGAACACCCCCAATTCCTTAAACCAACTCATATGTGATATAATTTTTAGCCCTACCTTATGATCCTAGCCTTATTGGACACATTGCACTTTGTAAATAACTTTTTAAAATATACTCAAAATAAGCTCAATTTTCTAAAGGTGATCTGGCCAGGACAGAGTACATAAATTTACAGTTCCCCTTTTTCTAGATGCTGCGTGATATAGTAGATTTGGAATTAGAGGGCTTGCATCCAGATCCTGCATCTATCTATTCTATTCTATATGCTATTCTATGCTAATCTCTGAGCCTGTTTTCTATCAAATGAACTAGTTCCTATGACCTATGGATATTACTTCCACTAAACATAGTTCATTATTTCTATAGTTTTTTGTGTAGCCTTATCTGTTATTGCCTCACACTATCCCTTCTCCTTTGAACTTATGGTATTAAATAACTACCAGCTAATCCTCCCAGAATCTTTTCATAAGAATTGAGTTTATTGGTCTAAATAACAGACTACAATCAATAAAATGAGGTTTCTTTGAAAGGAAGATTAAAGGAACTTTTTACTTAAAGGGAAACAAAGAATGCTCAGACAAATGAACTTAAGAGACCTCTTTTTGTAACTGAAGAGGAGGCTTGACAAAGCTGAATTAGCCTCACTTTTCTTCCTCCAACTCTATTCCTAGAGCAACCCCTTACCTCCTTTACTGCTTTGTATTACCTCTAGCTAGCTTTGAAGTGAGATACTGATCTGTAAAGAACTGAGGCATTTGTTTCCTCAGTACCCAAGCAGGAGAGATCTGCTTACCTTACAGCACAAGGAAGCAAAAGGTTCCTCCATCCCAGGGATTCTTTTTTTCTTAATTTATTTTTAGTTTTCAGCATTCATTTCCTTAAGATTTTGAGTTCTAAATTTTCTCCCCCTCCCCAAGACAGAGTTCAGTCTGATATAGGTTCTACATATACATTCATATTAAACATATTTTCTTAATTGTCATGTTGGTAAAGAAGAATTAGAACTAATGGGAGGAACACAAGAAAGAAGAGACCAAAAAGAAGAGCAGATAGTATGCTTTGACCTGCATTCAGACTCCATAGTTCTTTTTCTGGATGTGGATAGCATTTTCCATTATGAGTCTTTTGGAGTTGTCTTAGATCCTTGCATTGCTGAGAAGTCTATCAAATAAGTCTATCAAACTTAGTTATCATACAATGTTGCTGTTAACTGTATGCAATGTTCTCCAGGTTCTACTCACTTCACTCAGCATCAGTTCGTTTAACTCCAGGTTTTTCTGAAGTCTGCTCATCATTTCTTATAGCACAATAGTATTCCATTACACTCATATACCACAACTTGCTCAGCCATTCCCCAATTGATGGGCATCCTCTCAATTTCCAGTTCTTTGCCACCACATAAAGAGTTACTATAAATATTTTTGTATACATGGGTCCTTTTCCCTTTTTTATGATCTCTTTGGGATTCAGCCCTAGAAGTGCTATTGCTGGGTCAAAGGGTATGCACATTTTTATAGCCCTTTGGGCATAATTCTAAATTGCTCTCCAGAATGGTTGGATCATTTCATAGCTCCACCAACAATGCATTAGTGTTCCAATTCTGCCACATCTTCTCCAACATTTATCATTTACAATCTGTTTTGTCATGTTGGCCAATCTGGTAGGTGTGATGTGGTACCTCTGAGTTGTTTTGATTTGCATTTCTCTAATCA